TTAAATTACATGGCTTTGGGGCATATACAGAATTATTTAAACAATATAAATAAATGCGCGAAATAAAGAGTTTAAACAAAATTAGGGCATTGGACCCTTTTACAAACAATTAAAATTAATCAAGGAATCTAAAATTAAAATTAAATGAAAAATAGTGTTTTTGTGTTTTTGTGTTTTTTAGATTTAAAAGAAAAGGAAAAATTATTTAAAATTAAAATGCTAAACCCTAATTCTAATGTTTTTTAAGTTTTTAAGAAAGAGATTTAATTTCTAACCTAATTTAACTCTAAATTAATTTATGTACATTAAATAAATAATTAATATTATTATTAAAAAAAAAGAAAATAAAAAGTTATTAAACCTAAACTCTATTTTTTTTTATTTTGGTTATTAAAAGAATTAAAATCTAACCTAAAATGCAACCCTAGTTTAATTATGAAAAACACTAATACTATGGCAAAAAACAAGGAAAGTTAAAAGGAAAAAGTCATTAACCTAATTCTATGCTTTTGTTTTGATTTTTATTGAAAAGGATTAAAATTGAATACCTAATTAAATCTAAATATTTACATGTATTTTTTATGAAAATAATTATAATATAAAATTTATCATTTTTGGTCTTTTTCTGATTTTTGAATGTTTTTGTATTTTGTTAAAAAAATAATTAATTAAATAAATAGCAAAAAGAAATAAAAGGAAAAAATTAAAGAAAGAATGAAAACAATAAGGCAAACCAGGGGGGGTAGACCCCAGAATTATGAGGTGTAGGCCTGGCAATTTGGCCCAAGAGGCAATGGAATTTGTTGGACTTTTTGAATCAGGTATGACACCTTTGACTGAAGCATAGCATATTCCTCAATCTCAACCTTTGATGTGGGTGCTCTGGGACACGTGGATGATGCATTTTGAGCGTGCATGGTGAGTCTTCAATGTTATGCTGCATGGGAATTCAAATGAAAAAATAATATGAGAAATGTGTGAGACCTGGGGTTTGAACCCAGGTCATGAGAGTCCCTAGCGTGCGTCCCTGCCAGCTGAGCCACTTGATTTCATTTAACATATAATAGTTAATAAACAATATAAAATAAAAAGGTCAGTGCTATTTGAACTGCGCGCGAGATTTTAAACCTCCCAATCCCTGTATGCCACGCCATCATCCCTTCCATTTTCCTGAAACACAAAACAAGAAGGCAACGGTTTTTGAAGTGTAGTGTTAGGCAGCTTTTGAGAAAATAGCGATTAGGTCCCTGTAGCTCATAAATTTGTCGCGAGTAGGTCAATCCATTCGTCTTGGTGTACTGAGTTCAACCATGGTGGTCCTGGGCCCTAATTTTTCCTCTATGTGAAATCCCTAATTTGAGAAAGCTGTAACCCTAAAATTCTCACATGGCAAGTTCTTATACATGGCACAAAAATGAAATCAAACGCAAAGGTTAGCTCAGAAACATCATCATGAGTATGAATATCTAAAAAAAACTGCAAGAATATGCTTGAATCGTGCTATATGATTTCAGAATTTTTAAGATGCAGTTGGACTCGTGGATACCAGTTCAAGGAGTTTTGATTGATGTTATGAATTGGAATGCGTTCAGAATTGTCTCAGGAAGCTATTGGTATAAAAATTAAGGCTTAAAAAACTCCCTAGCTTTGAAATCAGATTTGCATTTTATGTCCAAATTTTCAAAATTCCAATCCACTTTTGAGCGAGCCTTTTGCTGCACTATGGTTAGGGTTTGACTCAATGCATCTCATGGAAGGGAATTGGTTTGTTTTTTGACCTAAATTCAAGCTTGGGAAAGAATTGGTCTTAGGGTTTCTTCCATTAACCATTTTCCTTCTTTTTAGCCAAAACCTAGACCTAGTATGCAAATGAACCCTAGCCTGATTTCTTGAGTTGGTTCATGATACATAGGAATTGTCCAAGTTCATTTGACACTATTCCATTGGTTTTTAAATTTTATTTGAATTTTCAAAGAATTAAAATGAATTAAATCATTAAAAATTAAATAAAATAAAAAAATCAATATTTGGTCTTGAAATTAACCATGGGACACGTGTGTGGCATGACAAGGATGGACCAAGTGGAAAAAATGGGGCCCTTTTGTCAAAATTGGATTTTCAAAGATAGTTGACTTTTGCCATTTCACAAAAATTTCCCAACTTCTACAAGGCATAACTTGCTCAATTTTTAAGATTTTCACATGTTCTTGGACATTTTGGAAAGGTCTTTGAGTCTTTTAACCAATGCCTTTGGTCCCATGTCATTTTGATTTACCAATCTCAAGTTATAGCCTTTGACTTAAAGTCCCCTTTTGTTGACTTTTGAAAATGACCTATAATGTTGAAATTGATAACTTTTTGTGAGAGCATTTCTTGGACTTGAAGTATGAAGATGAGTTGTAGGAAATGTCTTTCTCTTCAAAATGAGCTTTGGATGGGATTTTTCTGATAATCCATGTGAAAGTTATGCCCTGGTCAATTTCAGTTGACTTTTTCAGCTGTCCAAATATAGCAACCTTTGCATCTTTGATGATTTCTGAGCCAAATTTTGAGAATCATGATCAAGCATTGATCAAATGATGTTTGTGGCTTCAAAGTGATATGTTGACCAAAAATTTGAACTTTTGACTGTCAAATGACCATTTTGCCCCTACAGTTGACTGTAGTGCAATTTAGGGTTTTGACTGTACAATCTTGAGCTGAATGCCTTGAAACTTGATATGAGGATGCTTGACCATGTTTGTAAGCATATGAGACTTGATTGAGCCTTTGAAAACTTCCTTTTCTTGATCAACACACAAACCCTAGTTTTGACTGTATGGAGGCCTTTGCATTGTGCAATTCTTGGGGAATTTTGTAGCTTGGCTTGGCAATTTCTTGAGGAATATGGGAGGGCAAATTTTGGGGTATAACAGTCTGTTTCAATTCCACGATCACACAAAATGATCCTATAAAATTACAAACCTTCTCCTTATATCCCTAATAATGAACTTCCCATCATACCCTCACTTACCCTTCACTAATGACCATAATGCCCTTATTTTCTCTACATCACACATTATTCTATTTATCTTAATTAAAATAATTCTAAATATTTACTTTAATTATTCTAAAAATACACAATTGATCAATACCACCTAATTCCCTCTATACTACTCATAGTAACCCATCACACATCATATTCATCAAATCATCACATTCAAACATCATGTTTACCTTAATCATCATGGTACACTTCATATTCATCATAATTTCACAAATTACTATAAAGGATCACATATAATCATCATAACATAAAACACTTCACATTTACTCATGTAATCACACTAAATTAATTAATTAAATAATTAATCTAGAATTTAGGGTGTTATAGATGATCCTTCTTACATGTATGATTGTGACACATGTCAAATTTGGCAACAAGAAGTGAGTACTCTTGCTACCAAATTAGATAGTCAACATCATCCCATAGAGAACATGTCTATTAGGTCCTTGAAGGTTAAAAAGTCTCATAAAAATTACTCTTTGATTAAGAAAGTTCCTAATAGCATTATTAATTCTCATCATAGGATATTTTGTCACTATTGTTGCAAAAAGGGTCACTCTATTAAAAAAATGCAAGTTTATAACTTCTTTGATCCCTAAGGATGATTTTCAATGATTGTCCAAATGAAACATTTATTTAACTCACTCTCAAGGACCCAATGAGAATTAGGTACCTACCACCCTTATTTGATTTTTGTAGGATGAATATCTTGATGCTATGACGGGAAAGTGGATTCTTGATAGTGGATGTTTAAGACATATGATGTGAGACATATCACTCTTTTCAGACTTTATGGCGAAGAAGAAAGGATTTATGTCATATGGTGATTACAACAATTGTGCAATAATTAGAAAATTTAGTATAGGTAATCCCTCAACTATTACTATCTCAAATATTATGTTAGTTGAAGGTCTTAGACATAACCTTCTTAGTGTCATACCCTAAATTTGCCCGCCCTATTTCGAAAATTCAAATGATATTCAAAATTGGGTTTTATAATTTTCTTTGATTTATTTAAACTAACATTTTGTGTTTTATAAATATTCGTTTTTAATTTTATTTTGTCTATTTAAAAAATATATTATAGTTTATTTTATTTTTCAAATAGCAAATACTTGCTCACCTTCGTATACTTTCAATTAGCTTTTTATTTTGAATAAGCAATATAACATAATTGGTAAGGTATAAAGCTTTCAAGTATAAGGTGACAAGTTAAAATCTCACACGTTCCACTTTGGATATATTTTTTCTATCTTGTTTTCACTATGATATTTTCAAACAATTTTACCGTTGATTTTCATGAGGCCACCCTTTCACCTGTTTATTTTCAATTTCATTATTTTATTTTTTTTATTTGTTCGCTTTTACACCATAGGATGATAACTATGTGATGGTTATTTTTGCTAAATTAATTATTTTTATTATCGTAATAACAATTTTTTATATAAGGCCAACTTTTTCACACATAATTTTCATTCCCATAAAATATTCCATGAGACCAATTCATTCACAACTTTCCACACGCTAGCAATTTTTTAAACCTGAAAACCTTCATTCACTAATTTTTTTACACAATACATACAAAACCTTTTTTCCCAGAGTCAAACCTCTTGTTTTTGAGTCAAATCCTTGTATACACTCTACTCAACCTTCATGATTTTTTGCAAAAAAACATCCACCACAACATTCATCATTCAATCAAAAGACACTATCAACCTGCAAAAATTCCATGCAAAATTGTTTTAAACAATACCATGAATCTCTAAACCTTCCTTTGTTCACAAATCACTACCAAACAATTCATCACCAAATTCATCCCTTCCAAGTCTCATAGCAATATTACAAACCATTAACACAATCCTCACAAATTCAATACTTTCCTTCACAAAGTCCTAACATGAAATTCTAACAATTTGTTTTTACCAACAATCAGAATTTAAACATTAATTGAAACTTATAACATAACAACTTGTACAATTTTTGTTGTTGTTTTATATAAGAAAAAGAATTCGATCTGAAGCCTACGAATCTCTAACGTTAATCTCGAACCGCACTCCTCCGGAAAGTCACCATCCGCCCCCGACTTCACAGACTCAACAACAACCTGTAAATGCCAAGTGAAAAACAACTGATTTCAAAGGTTCGACATAATTAACAGAGGAACAAAATTGAGAAGTTTTGCAGGGAATCTAATACAACAACACAACCTTGCAACAAATCAACAAAAGAAAAAAAATTGAAGAACCCTCCGAAGCCGAACTGCGAAAATGTAACTACTACCAGAGGATGGTGTCGTCGTTGCAACACAAATCACAAATCTGGACGAAAACTTCCTCCGATCCGAAACAATTCTAATCCTCCGCAAGCAAATCCTCACCGTTCCCCCCGCGCTCATATCATCCCTCGGCGCATATATTTTCGAACGCAACATCTACGAGCAGTCCTACAATTCATGTCTCAGTAAAACACCGACACTCTCCTGACACGGTCACTCGATCCTCACCGATACGGTAAACTCTTTTCTCATTTTTTCTCTTCTTTTTTGGCTATTTACAACTGTTTTGTAATTAGATAGGAGAATGGAAGAGGAAAGATTTAGGCTTGGAGAAGGAAATGACAATTGGAAAACGAAGAACGGTGAAAGAAAAAGGTTCTGAGTATTTGATAAATCTCTTTGTATCATTTTGTTATATCTATTGATTTATTTATTTATTTTTATATTTATTTAATGCAATTCCACTTGTCATTTTTTTATTGGCTATTGAAATAAGATGAAAAGTCAAAAATAACTTTTTCTTCTTATTTTTATTGATCAGGAAAGAAGAGGAATCAGAGGTTTAGATCTTAGTTTTTATTTTATTAAATAAATTAGGTTAACATTTTATCTTTTTTTAATATTTATTAATTAAAAATGGGGTGCCCCCAATGTCTTCTTTATTATTATTTTTTATCGTCAGATTTTATTAGACATTTAATTTAATCTAGTTTAATTGGGCCTATAGTATAATTTGGTTTTATTTTTAATTAGGTTTTATGATTTAATTTAGTGAATCTTAAAAATACTACAAAGATATTTTTCTTTTACGTATAAAAAATACATAAAATAGGTATCTTTTAAAATTAATTAAAGTTTTTTTATAAATAATAGGATTTCACATCCTCAAATGATTAATTGGTTGACTTGACGTCGTACTAATTTATTATCCAAATCAAAACAATTAAAATTCACGCGAATCTTAGTTTTGCTCAATGCAAAAATCAAACGCTATCGCTCAACACTATAAATAAATCAAATCAATTACTTCGCCCTCTGCGATTTAATTTTTGATAAAGATAAACTCTTTATCAATCAAATCAAATTTAAAATAGCTAATCAATTACAAACATTTTTTTACCAAGTTAACAAAAACTTTAAGATGTTTTAAAAAAAGGATTAAATAACATTGCCTTCAAACTTAACTTCGAACTGCGTCTATGATCACTCAATTTCCAAACCAAGACAAGGTTCAAGGATAATTTGAAAGTAATTCTACACAATCCTATAAAAAATACCAACCAAACATATATGAACTACGAAATTGGACTCTGATTCTTCGCAAGGAGATACGTAAGCACGCAGTTAAAGCCAAGGTGAGTCCTTCAGCTAAAAAATTAAACATTTTCCTAAATATATGGAAACAATAAAATTAAATAGAAATTCCCGATATACCCCTAGACCTAAGATATGATACCCCTTGAGAACAAGGGAGATGAATGGTGCCTAACACATTCCCTTTTTTCTAACCAACTCGTGAACTTAGAATCTATAAACAATTTGGGTTATCCATTATTCCTCCGTACTTATACAAAATTTAATGGTGGTGACTCGTTAATATTTTCCGATTATGATAGTTGGCGACTCTGTTGAGGAAACTACCATAGGGTTAGATTTATCCCTTATTTTTAAATCTAGGGTTTTGTGGGTTCTTTCTAATTATGGTATGTTTTTTTCCATGTATATTTATTGGTTTATTGATTATTTATTTGTTTCTCTTTTTATTATCATTTTGTAATCATATTATTGTTGGTGGGTTTTAAATTTCAAAAACAACAAACCTTAGAAAGAAGGATTGTCAATTGGCCAAGAGGGTTTAACACCCCTATGAGTTTTTGCAACGACTTCGCCTAGAGTCGGTTGAGTACCAAGGAATATATTTTAGATGGCTATACTCTCTTGAAGGTAGGACTTAGGAATTTGGCCAATGACTCTTTGTATAACTCTAAAACAAAATCTCATGGTGAGATCTTGTATGACCTACGAGACAAAAGTCTCGGTCTACAAAGAGGCTCCACTTAAGGAAGGTCCTTGAGCCTTTTCCCTATAGTGTTATCCATGATACCCTTAAGGAAACCACCATTATGGGGAAGGGTTGGATATCTGTAGAACGAACTTATGGACCTACATACTAAGGATACCCTTCACATCCTATACTTCATAGGGAACCTTCCCGTGAAGGATATCTTGTCAAAATCCCTACACCCACAAGGGTTTTCCTTTTGTTAATTCTCTATCCCAAAAACCGCAAGGGTTTCTGTTCATATAGCAGTATCTCTAAACCTATTTAGGTTTCATTCCCTAAACACACAAGGGTTTTGGTTTATCAAATATAATCCTTAGGCCCGTAGGGACTTCCATGTGTCTGTTACAATCCATAGCCTGTAGGCATTCTTTTTTGTGCGTCACAATCCCTAGACTGTAGGGGTTCCCTTTTGTCTTTCACTATCCATAGTCCATAAGGGTTTCCTAGACTGTAAGACTTCCAGTTTCCTATTATAATTCTTAGCCTGTAGGACTTCCATTGGTTTATCATAATTCCTATCCTGTAGGAATTTCTGTATGTCTGTTATAATCCCTAGCCTCATAATCCTTGAGGAGTTTCTTTGTGTCTGTCACAATCCCTGAGTCAGTATAGGGAATCCTCACTTCAATATCCATTTCTGAACTCGTTTAGGTTTCCTTAGGTTTTCCATAATCTCTATCACTAAGTTTTCAGAGGTCTCATTATGTTCATCCATATCTTACGCTCGTGTTGCATTGCATATCCGTGAAACTTTTAGCATCCCTTAAAAACAAAAATATTTTGCATACTCATGCATTTCCATACATACATACATGTAAACCTCATATGTGTTCTCACCTTCTCCCTTGACCAACATTAATCCTGCTAGCAGATTTCTCGATGCTCGAGAAAAATTCCAAGCATGCTTCAAGAAAGCTGTGAAGGAATTCAAGTAAATCCTAAATTGTTGAAGGAGAAAGTCAATCGTTAAGCTTGGTCCTACACGTCCTACAAATTAGATAAGGCAACCCTTCTTCATACAAGCCAAAGGCCTACAACGCCTCAAATATAATTATCATTGGTGATTCCTCCACAACAGAGGCAACAAAATCGTTAAGAGAAAATGCCCTCACGTAATAGGTGTGCCGAAGAAAAGTCAAGGGTCACTCACATACTTTGATAATTCCAAGAGCATCCAGAAGCTCTCCTAAAGTCAATTGGATCAACAAAGAAGCTCTTCTATAGGATCATTAGACTTTATCAACTACAAATTGTAATTTCGCAATTGTTAAGCTTCATTTGGTGTAACTTTGTATCTTTTAACTAGTAATCCGAATAAAATGAGCATGCACATTTTCGAAGTCAATTCATTCGTTACAGTCTTTCATCACTTTCCATATATAATCAACGAATTTTCCATTTCGCTTTTCACTTTTCCATCTTTCACCTTTAACAAACTTTGATAGAGAATGATGTAATTTAAATAACTTAATTTTACTAAATGCATGCTTTCAATGGTAAGACCGAGCTGATGATGTAAGATATTGTTTCAATTCCTAAACAATGGAGAAATAAGGAGTTAATCTGTAGTTAACCCCTTCAAGCCAGGAATTAGAGTTTTGTTCAATTTTCTAAAAAAAACATTAATTTCAACCAGGAGTAGGGTTGATTTCAATTAATTCAATGGAGCATCCTAATCTCAGGAGAACCAAGTCAATCTAAGCAAAATTTCAAGCATATCCTTTTCCTCGCATCTATCATCCAAGGTTGAGGAGTCAATGAAGATAAAACCCATGACGTCTTCCTCCTCAGTACATCATTCAAGATGGAGGAAATAATGAAGACAATCTTACAAAGTTAACATGGCGGTCACAAATGTTCAAAATCAAAAAGTAAAAAGAAATTCAAAAGGCGAAAGCCCGCTAAGTCAAAGAAAAAAAAATTGACTTAGGCAAAAGTTAGGGTATCCCGATGGACCAAAATTCAAAAGAATTGGTCCTTGCAAAAATAAGGGATTGAAAATAAATAAATTGGAGAACAATCTTGTGGTTGCCACCTCAAGAATCATCAAGTTTTATCATCAATACTTGGATATTATCAATGTTTTTCACCAGTGCTTGGATCTTTACTAATGCTTTTGCTCATCATCGCGACTATGAAAATTCTCTTGCAGACTGAATACATCCATTTGATTAATTGAACTTAGGATTGGAGAACATCAAGGAGAATGGGGTGGGTTAAAATAAATCATGAGCCTTATATCCTTTGTTTCTTAAACTTTGAACCAATGTCACACTACAACCCTCAAAAGTCCAAATTGAAACAAGGTCAACTATGAAAGCATACTCAGCAAAATTTGTGTTAAACTGACTCTTATGTTTGTTAAAATTATTGCTAACCACTTCGCTTCTTCGAATCTTCATCTCAAAATCATCCATTTCTTCTCCGTGAAAACTTCAATTTTAAAACTTGCATGTGTGTCACTAAGAAATACTTTTCAAAGTGTACACTTTTATATACGAGTCAATACTTAGCATTAGGGAGATCTCAAAATTTTGTTTAATAAAAAGAGATCCTTTATAGGAAGCTCTTAAATAGGGGGAAAACTTCTAAAGAAGAACCATATAATCATAAGAAATACTAATGATCCTAGAGGTATATCACATGAATATCCTATTGACTATGGGCGATCATTCTAAGATTCAATCAACTTGGGTCACATTTCAAAGCATCATTCAATCAGGGGCATACCTTTCGAAGGGGTATTCCTTAATCAAATTCATATCACAACATGGTAGGACTCGATTTCCTCTTTCGATAACTTCTTAAAGACCTAATAATCAATGGGAAACCTTCGAGACTCAAATGTTGGGGCAATCTATATCAAGTTCATGGGGAGGTCCAAGTTATTTCTGAGGGCATTTCCTCCAGATCTTGGAGATTGGGCGTATATCTTTCAAAATTCAAATGTTGGGGCAAACCACTGCGAGGCTCGATCAAAAGAAGTTTATTCAAAATGGATTCATCAAAGACAAATATCTTCAAGAGTCTGTTAATTAGGGGCATAGTTCAAGGTAGTAAGGCCATTCATATTATGATCAAACTACTTTCG